ACTATGGAAATCAATATAGAGATACCTCAATTGTTGGAAAAAGAGGTTCTATTTGATCCAGCCATCCCTCTGCTGGGTATCTTTCCAAAAGAACTAAAAGAATCATATCTCAGTGATGTATGCACGCCCATGTTTATAGTGGCACAGTTTGTAATAGCTAAAACTTGGAAACAACCCATTTGCCCATCAGTTGGAAACTGGATAAAGAAGATGTGATGTTTTCTATAAAATGGAATATTACTCAGCCATAAAGAATGAGGAATTAGATTCATTCATTGGAAAAGCAATACATATTGAGGATATACTCCTAAGTGAAATAAATAAGTCACACATGTGTAAATACCGAATAGTTTTCTCTGGTGTGAATAAACTGTAATTGTACATAAGATCCTAATGAGATAACTGATATTGTGAAATGGAAAGAAAGGGTCTAAATGTATAGGGAAGGTGGGATGGGTAGGGGAAAGGTAATAAGGGAAAAGAAAAAATGTGAAAAAATGAAAAATGGAAATAAAGTGGTTGTAAATGGGGAGGGGAGGATGGGTGTAGGGAGGGCAGGGACAAGGGGAGAAAATGAGAACCAAGAGCTGTCATGTAGAGGTGCAAGATCCTAACAATGAGTGTAACTCTACTGTATCCCTAAAATGTATGAATAAAGTCAATTAAAAAAAAAGAGTTAAAAGTGATATATTCTCACCCATGTTTATAGAAGCACCTTTTGTATTACCTAAATCGTGGAAACAGCCCAATTGCCAATCAATTGGAGACTGGATAAAGAAATTTTTTTTAATAATTCAATGGAATTCTACTCAAACAAAGAATGAGAGATTTATAGCTAAGTAGATGCACACTGAGGCCATTTAAATGAAATTAATAAGTTGCACATGTGTAAATATCGAATAGTTTTTTGGTGAAAAAAAGTAAAAGTGCAAATAAGGATTAAATTGTATAGTTTATATTGTTTAATAATAGGAAGAAAATTCTAAAAGAGTAGAGTAACTGGGAGGGGTAGAGGAAAAGTAAAAGGGGAAAAGAAAAACTATGTGAAAAGGAAATACATGGAAACAATGTTGTAGTGAGCAGGAAAGAGTGGAGGGGCAGAGCAGAGTGCTGGGGAATGGGGAAAAATAACCTGCTAAGTCATGTGTAGTTACAAGATCCCAGTGAAGAATGATTATATTGTATACCTAATATGTACCAATAAATTTAATAAAGATTAAAAAATAAATAAATGTACATATGAAATAATTTCTAATAAAAACAAATAAAAAGCTAGGGAGAATCATATAATAAATTGTGAATTAAGGAGATCTGCCTCACTATAATAACATTTTACTAGCTATACATATGCTGTAACATCATATTGTAAACCTTAAATATATTGAGTGACTATTTCCTTAACATAAATTTTAAACAAATATAGTAAAATAGACATACAAATTATTTCAAGCCAATCAGAACAATAAAACATTTAAGAAGACTGATAAAATATATGAACCATTAATTTAGAAAAATAAATACAATTTACTCATGTATGTGAAAATTTCATAGGCATACAAAAAAAAACAATTAAAATTGTAAGAGAAACTTAATAAATCTTACTTTGGCATATTCTTTTCTAAGTGTGCAGTAATCAGACACAGAACATTTCTTTCTTGAAGAAATCAGGAACAGATGTTTATATCACAAAGTTTCTACTTCTTTGGAGCTTTACCTATTATTATCACAAGCTTCCATAGAGGCAACCTAACATCAAGCCCATGGAAATGATGTAATTTGTACAGCTGTGGGTTTGAGCATCTTCAGTGTATCTGTGACCTCACAGTATTTACCTGGGTACCATCAGTTCTTATTTCCTTATTCCCCTTATTCCCTTATTCCCCTGTATACATAATATATACTATCTGATTCAAAAATACTGGCTAATAAAAAGTGTAATTGTTTAGATTTAAAGTATTATTTATTAACATGGAATAATTGCATGTATTAATGGGGTTCAGTATGATATTTCAACACATACATACAGAATTTACTAACAAGATCAGGGTGGTAATCATTCTTCCCCTTCGCATTGTTTTATTTTGTATTAATTGAAATCCTAATTGTCAGGTATTCATAAAATGTATAACAAGATTTGGGATCTGTAACCTTCCCCACCACTGTGCTGAGAAGAACCATAACTCACTCCTCTGTCTGTGTTTTGATATCTGTTTCACACTGTTGCCTCTTCCATCCTTCACAGCATGCAGGAATCCCTATTTCAAATTTGCATAGACCTTTGTGTTAACTTTGACAAAGAAGACAAAACATGTAGTAACTGATTTTCTTTTTCTGGCTTATTTCCTGTGATATAATGTCCTGGAATATCTGTGTCTACAAATAACATAATTATATTGTTTCCTGTCACTGAATAATATTCCATTGTGTGCAGACACCACATTTTCATTTTCCATTTCTTTTGGCAAAGCAGAACAGCTCCTTTCTATAGCCAAGTGTTACAACTTTCGGACATAGACAAGTGTTACAATTCAGTGTTACACCGCAGTTCCAAAGCTCTGAGCCACAACTGAGTTTTGTAGCTCAGTGTCACAGCTCTCATGATTGGCAAACTTCAGAATCCATGGTCACTCAAAGAGGTGGAGAAAAACCTTTAATTATCCCAGCAGACTCGGGAGAATTCACACTCTTAAGTCTGAGCACTTGGCTAGAAAAAGGAGCCTCCTTACATAGGAATCTATTGGGTAGGTGAGAATGCTCCCAGAAGCAAGGGGTGGACTTACTGAATATTTCTGAAAGGCATACGGGTTGAGTATGCTCACAGAATCAAGAGAGCAGAGTTACAGTGTGTTTCTGAGAGGGGTAGAGCTAATATAACATTCCTGAGAGGTCATGAAGTTCTCAAAGTTACAAAACATGTTGATACATTGGGCTGGAGTTTGCCAGCAGCACAAACTGTTACATTTCTGGAAAAAAACATTGTGTTAAAAAAAAATCATGAAGCCAAGGCAAGGCCTATCTCATTGCCTAGTCTTGCTCCATCTTACTCACTCATGATGAGAATCTGGGTTAATTCCATCTATTTAATGTGCTGAATAGTACTGCAACATGTGAGAGTACAGGCATATTCTTTGTTATGCTGATTTTATTTATTTAAAATTGTTGTTATTAAAATCAAAGTCTCTCCTGAAATTGATGCATCTGTATTTTTCTTGTTCAGATTTCTATGCTCCACTAACTCTGTCTAATACATACTCCATCCAAAACAAATTCACTAAATATAAACTGTACTGGATACAGCCTTTCCAAAACCTCGAGAGTAAGATACAGCTAGGAATTATGAGAAAACCATATTGTGTATGTGTTAGGAAATTGATCATGTTAAATTATGTTGTGATGCCACAATCACAGGCTGCATTTTTCTGGTATTTCTTGGCTCCTAAAATGACCTCATGCACTTATCTCTGGTTTCCCTCCCCCGCAAGGCCACAGTGGTCCAGAGTAGTTGAAACCTGCTTCTGCAGCGCTGGGCCCATAAAAACCAATCTGGCCTGTGATAAGTTAAAAGTAGCTCACTCCTCTTTAATATTAAATAGCCTAGCCCAAAACTGATAAAAGTACCTTCTTTCTTTGTTCTCTTCTCTTCCTCTCATCTTTTTCATCCTCCTCCTCTCTCTCTCTGCTCTCTCTGCTCTCTCTCTCTACTCCTACCTCTTGAATAAAATCTCCAGTCAGACCTCTCAGTGTGTGTGTGGCCTAGTTGTTGAGCATCACTATTCCCTTTCATTGGTGTCAGAAGCGGGTCTGGGATTTCTAGGCCATTAGGTTAAAATACCTAGGGACCCAAAACCCAAATACCAAGATACTCCAACTCAGCCCCCACCTGACGTGCGCGACCACCTTCATTGGTGCCATTCTAGCAGCCAACACTGATCCACCTATCTTCAGGCCTACACTGGATATTGGGTAAGTTCTCCCTTCTGAGACATCTTTCAGGTAACAGGAGATCCCAGAGTCCCAGACTGCCCAGGAGAACCACTTCCAGGACAAAGCCGGGGCCCAGGCTCTCTGTCCCTCAGTTTGGCAAACCAGGTTTGCTGTGTTGAGTCCGGGACTTAACTGAGCTAAGTCCAGGACATAGCTCCCCATAAACTCCTATCTTGTGTGAGGGATGCCTTCACAAGAGACTGAGTTTCATTTCTATACCAGGTCTAGAAAAAGAAGGGGTCCTATCAGAACTCTAAGAGACATCTGGACTTCTGATAACCTCCTGTCCTGGTGATCATGGGCTCTGGCTTTTCCATACCCCTAGACTCTCCTTTGGGATGCTTACTCAGGAATTTGGAGTGCCTTGACCTAAATCCCAAGAGGCTAATTTGTTGATCCATTCAAATTTGGCCCTGATATCAATTAGACAATCAAAATGTCTGGCTGCCTAACAGATCCCTTGAACCAGGTCTAATTTGAGACCTGTTTAACTTTTGTGAGCATCAAGGAAAGTGGTCAGAGATTCCATATGTCCATATGTCCAGCATTTTTCTTATCTTAGCAACCAGCCCTCTCTTTGTTCCACTGCCCAGAGACTATTGCCTCCTCCCACACTTCTGCTAGCCCACAGTCCCTCAGCCACCAACCCCCTCCCTCTTAATTCCTCAGACCAGCTGGACCTCGCCAATGACAGTCCCCCATACCTGGCACAAAGAAACCAACCCACTCCTCCCTCTACCCCATCTGACTCCTCCTCTCCTCCTAGATCTCCTACTCCTCCCATTTCCTCAGCACCTCCTACAGCTCTGCCCCATGCTCCAACCACACCTCTCATCCATTGCAAGTCTCATATGAGCCACACAATGGCACCCTTGCTCAAAGTAGCAGGAGCTGAGGCTATCATCCATGTTCATACTCCCTTTCCCATGACTGAACTGGCCCTCATCCAAGCCAGACTTGGTTCTTTCACTTCTGACCCAACAACCTTTGTAAAATTATTTTAACTCTTGACACAGTCTAATCAATTAACTCATCATGATCTTGTTGTTGTTCTCACCAATGCTTTAATTGCTGAAGAAGGCAAAATAGTGCTGGATCAGGCCCATGCCTATGCAGAACAGGAGCATTTGACAAATAAGCACCATCCAGGAAGTACTTTTGTGGTCCTTGAACAAGACCCAGGATGGGACTACCACATTGAGGTGGGGATTGAAGCTCAGGACAGGTATATTAATTGTCTCCTTCATGGGCTCCACAGATCCAACATGAAGTCTGTAAATTATGAGAAGCTGAATGAGATTATACAAGATAAAAATGAAAATCCCCTTGCCTTCCTACAAAGGCTGACTGATGGCCTCTGCCAACATACCAGACTTGACCCTGAGTCTGTTGATGGCCAGAGATTAATTATGATGTATCTCTTTTATCACAGCTACCCTGACATTAGACTCAAACTAATAAAGCTTGAGAGGGGACCTTTGAATCCCCCTGCAGAAGTTCTGGCCACAGCATTCAAAGTCTATCATGGCCGTGATGATCTCAAGTTCAGCAAAAAGTGCCAGTTATTGGCACAAACCTTCAATCCTGCCAAGCTGCAATTCCCTCAAGGAAAAGGACAATTCAGGGGGTCCCCTCAACCACTGGGACCCTGTTACCTGTACAGTCAAGAGGGTCACTAGGCTAGAGAGTGCCCAAATCCCAGAGTGCCTACAAAGCCTTGCCCTATGTGCCAACAGAGGGGACCATTGGGGTATAGACTGCCCTCTGGCATCCACCCGCTATCAAGCCTACAGCCCTGCCACTCTCTAGAACGATGACATGATAGGTCTAGCAGCAGCTGAAGGGCTATGAAGAGGCCCTGCACAACTGGCTGAATGCAGATCACCACCCAGGAGGCCAGGGTGACCTTAATTGTGGCAGGTGGGACTATTGTTTTCCTATTTGTGGGAGCCCACCGTGGCTCTCTGGCATTTGACATTTGAAAGGAAACTTCTTCCTGTACAATGAAGGCCTTGATACAAGCTATGTAACATTTGTTACCTTTCAAGGACTCTGTTTGTTAAGCTTATTTGTTCTTTGACCCTAGGATGGGAGGAACTCAAAGAGATAGCCAAAGATTTGGTGGTATCTGTAGAAATCAGGAATTCCTGTTTTTGCATAAGAAATGATGGAGATGATTGCTTGATGCTTCCTGTTAATGTGCCTTTAAGGAAAGCTGTTTCTGTAGAAATAAACCAGACTTCTCTTGGTCTCCACTCAGGTGTGAGTATTCTTTCCTTTCTCAATCCTTACTCCCCAACTCAGGTACGTTCGTGTTGTGATGGCTGGGCTGCCACACTATTAGACACTGGTGCCAGCTTTTCTGCATTGAGAGACTATTGGGGACCTACCTCCCTGTCTCAGATCTCTATTGTTGGGGTAGAAGGTAAAAAACAACACTCTTCACAGACTCCCCTACTGTCATGCACAATTGGAGACTTCATTTCTTCATTCATTCCTAGTCCTCCATCCTGTCCCATTCCCTTATTGGGTTGTAACATTTTATCCCAAATTGGGCATCCATTCACCTTTCTATGCCGAGCCTTTCCAACACTCCAATGTCTTCCTTTTGTCTTCTGTTATCCCAAGCTATTGAACCTACAGTCCCCAACTAACTGCTTGGCATATCTGCTGTTTTTCACTTGGTAAACTTGCCTCTCAGAAAATGTGCTTACCCTTTGGAAGAGTTCCAATTGTCTCCCCCTTTGCTGTGCTTAAAACACTTCTTGTATATTGCACATTCTTAAATTGCAATAATAGGGTTAACTTGCTCTTTTCTAAAAGCTCAAGATTGATACTGTTCTGTTGGCAACCAGTCAAATTTTAAGATGTAACAATCTGAGAACAGAAAAAGGACACATTAAGATGAAGTTTGTTATGGAAGGTTAATAGTAAATGAGACAGAACAATATTAGGAAAGCTATAAATAAGAGTTATACTTTTGACATGAAAGTTTTTTTTTTTATGTTTATCTTGTTAGAAAGAGATAACAAGACCAGAAAGCCTAAGTATGTAGAGAAGGTTTATAAAAATGATTTAATAGGAAAATATGTGTGTTTGCTTTTGTTTCAAGTTTGTTATAAAAAGTTTACATTTACAGTCATAAAGAGCCTTCATTCCTTTTAATCCTAATTCCACAGGAGATCTCTGTTAATTTTGAACTGCAAATGGTTTGATTAGTTGCAAATAAAATATTTAATAATTCAATTGGCCAAAACCATCTGAGTACATTCTAGTTTAAATTGTTCTACATATTTGTCTGTCTAAATGTTATCAAAATGATACCAAATACAAGTAGATTGTTGATTTCTACATCTTGGTTTTATAGATTAAATAAAAATTTCAAGAAAATGAAATATAAACTTTTTAAGTTTGGGTACACTGCTGTTGGTAAATAAAGAAGCAGCTACTCAGAAATTTTATTCTGAACTTAGTTCACTAATGGGAGCCTAAATAATTTTTATGGCCTTATAGAAAGATATGTGTTGTTAAATATGTTATTATAACATGTTTATGATGGTTATCTTCAAAATATAATATTTTCTGTATAAAGAAATTCATATTGTTTATGACAATAACCTTTTGATCCAGATATTTTCCCTTCTCTTCTGCTCCACCTACTTATGGTTACAGATACATTTGTAGGCCCATACACTTTCATTAGATTGTACTGTATCAAAAGGTAATAACTTAAATAAGTTTCCTGGGTTTTTGTTTATCAGTATGTTTGGTTCCTGATTACAAATTTTTCTGTTAATATTCTACAAAAAATTAACTACTTAAACAACCATGATTGATAAAATAATACCCCTCTAACTATATTTTAAATTCCAGGATAATTGCTATCTAGATAATTATGATAGTTAAATTCCTACTGTACTACTGATGTCACTGATCTTCTCTTCTGGGTGTTCAACCACCAAGGTACAGCAAGCGACACTAAAAGGTAACTGGGCTAAGGATATCACCAATATTTTGGCTCTGGCCCTCAAAGGTCATCAAAGATCCAAGGTATGAAGGGGCCTTTTCTACAAATTCCTATATCTATGGTCAGTCACCCAAACTCCTGAACAGGGAGATTGCTGGACACCAGAGGAAAAATGCAATGTGTGCTAAAGGAGGGTCACCAAAAAAATCTTCCCACTTTTACTAATTGCACCATGGTCAAGCAAGGCCAGGACCCATCCAAACAGCTGACACTGGGAGCTGAGAAGCTGTATACATGGTTCCAAAATAATACCTTAAGAAATTTAACTGACCTTGACAGATAACAATAGGATCATACTGATTAACACAGGTCTCACTCTAATTTGGTCTTAAACACTCAACAGAAAAGAATAACCAAAACAGGCAATCAATAAATAGGCACTAATGATAGGCTTCTGAGGCCAATTCACCTCCCAAATATTCCTCTTGATTAAGACATCCACCCCCAGTAAAGGTTATAAATGTGTTAGTATGGGTCTATACTTTTCCTAGAGGGCCTGAAGCCTTCCCTATAAAAACAGAGGGTTTCAGAGACGTACAAGATTTTATTAAAAATTCCTAGGTTTGGTCTACTTCTCTCTATAGACAGTGACAATGGACCAACATCTGTAACAGAGGTTATGCAAGATCTAGCTAAACTGTTATGCTGCTTATTGAACTCAGAGGTCTTGTAAGGTTTTAAAAAATGATAAATTATATCATTAAGATAAATATTGTCAAATAACACCAGGTTATGAGTTGTTTGGCTCCCTTTGGCCTTCTTTAAAATGAGATATACCAAGTAATACTGGGTTCTCCCCATATGAGGTCTTGTTTGGAAGGCCACCTTATATCTTGAGAGACTATATGTATATGAAAAGGGCCATATATAAGGCACTTCTGGTTACTCCCACAGCTGTCAAGGTAATTAAAGTTCAACTACCACTACTCTAAAGTAAAACAGGTCTATCCAGAGAACTTCATGGACTTTGACTCCAGGAGACAATACACTCAAAGCCCTGCTCTGAATTTAAGTCCTTTCCAGGATAGTTCCATTACTTTCCTGTTAAGCCATAGCTTCATGCTTTTCTCCCAGTCATATCCACAGGACGTTTTCTATGCTACTCCATGGGATCTCTGAAGGTCAAACTTACTCGGATTCCAAAAGACCTGGTTGCCCAGGATCCTTCACCATCATCCAGTCCTGAGTCAGATAAGCCAACATAACTGTTTATCCCCTCATCCTCTCATGCGGTATTGTGACACATTTCACACTACAGCACCCACTGATATCCTAAGTCTTCTTACATTAGTACTCCTGGGACTTGTCCTTGGGATAGGATTGGCCACAGTATCTCCTCCCAATTATAATTTTACTTCCAGGTGTTTACTATCATTGACCTATTACCTCATAATCTCATTCTTTGCCACTCTTAATTACTGGAGACATTAATGGTTCATCTCCTGCTCCTGTTTTCTCTCCTAAACCTTAACCAAACCGATAGCCCCTGGTATATACCTTGACTCACTCCCAATCTAACTCAGCCCTCCTTCAGAACCAGATAGGATCTCCTGAAATCATATTCCGGGCCACCTTATGCCAGTTCTTTGACCAAATAATCAAATTCCTGCCACTCTTCAGAATGGCCCAGAGCTGATTTCTGCTGCCCTTTCCATATCTACCTATGCAGTCGTGCCCTATGTTCTCATTTTATTCAATTCCAGGTCAGTTGTCTCTCCACTCAAATCTCATGACAGATGGCTCACCAGCTGATACTTCAACCAGAGACCTCAGTGAAACCACTGTGTTTACATGATAGCCAATGGACTAACCATAGCTCAGATCTCAGCTCAGTTTAAACATTTTATAAATAATCTTTGGATTAATATTTTCTGGTTTGCTCCCCACCCTTGTTCTATTACCTACATAGCCAAATGGGTCACTAACACATGGCTCCAAAAATCTTTATCAGACTTCACCCTGATTGAAGTCACAATCTTTACCATTTTACTCTACAGCAGTGGGTTCTCTGACCCACCAACCCAGTCCACAGACTCATACAAATTATCTTCTACCTCTCTCTCCTCCCTCATTAATTGATTTGTGTGCTTGGACTTTTCTCAGGAAGCCCTACCAACAATTCCAGTAAAAAATGCTACTGCTGTCAACAATTCCATGTTCATAAAGGACAAGGTAGCTGGCCAGGCCCCACACCTGCCCCTAGGTCGACTCGTCACCCCAGACTCAGCAGGAAGTAGTTACAGAAGACAGATACGTCACCCCTTCCCCTGGCTTGTGGTTTGCACTTGCCACCATTTCTCATCTAAAACCAAAGAGGGGGAAATGTTAGGGAATTAATCATATTAAACTATGCTGTGACACCACCATCACAGCTGCATTTTCCTGGTACTTCTTGGCTCCTAAAATGGCCTCATGAACTTATCTCTGGTTTCCCTCCCCGCAAGGCCTCAGTGGTCTGGAGAAATTGAAACATGCTTCTGCAGGGCTGGACCCATAAAAACCAACCTGGACTGTGATAGGTTAAAAGTAGCTCACTCCTTATTAATATTCAATATACTAGCCCAAAACTGATAAAATGACCTTCCTTTCTTTGTTCTCTTCTTCTCTTCCTCTCTTCTTCATCCTCTCTCTTTCTGCTCTCTCTGCTCTCTC